TATTATATTATGTATATATATATATATATTTGTATATAAATCACAAAGCGACAAAACTACATGTTTACAGAAAAAGAGTTAACACTAACAGATGACAATGCTTATTACACTTTAGGCTCCAATACTTAATCTTCATTTCAAGTATTTTTTTTTTCAATTCGGTATTGTCGATTACTTTCAAAGAATCTTTTGTACTAGAAAGTAAAAGACTGTTGTCATCGGTGGTCACCTTAGAGGAGGCATATTGTTCTCGCAATTTGATGAAAAACATATTCAAAAAGAATGGTTATTAAGTAGTTTCGATTTGACTCATATATCACAGTATCGTAATATGGGTGTGTTGTGTTCGCATCACCGTCGTTGTGGCACTCTGCTGATCTGACAGACACAACAGGATGGGATGAAGAAATTCTCAACTGACGTTCCTTGTCCATCTGAATCCAAAGCCAATAGCTTCTTTTTAATGAACTTCTGTTTACAGTGGTTGACGAAACCGAAGGGCAAAGATATCTCTCTCGTACATGGTTGGCCGGGAGATCTATAAGAAATAGAAAAATGTCAAAAGAAGAAAATTACAAGATGTCAAAATTAGTAGATCTATATTAGTTTATTATACAAATTAATAGTATATTAGTACGTTATGCAAAAGTATATTATACAAAAGTATATTATATATCTAGTATAACAAGGAAATTACTTGATGTCAAATAAAAAAATAAAAATAAATTACATGATTTTTACGTAAAAAATTACTAGATTTCAAAAAGTTATCAAAACGAAAAAATTACAAGATATCGAAACAAAAAAATTCACATTTTCTATCATATATGAGTTTTCATATTGTTTTTAAGAAAGGACCATCAATCATCATTTTAGTGAAAAGATTCAGAAGTAAAAATTATATTTTCTGGTAAAACAATTACAGTTGAGTCCCGATCATTTGCTAGTAGATTATCCGCGGTGAGGATTATTAACCACTTGAGGGCTGCGCCCCCTGCTCGCTAACGCTCGCCAACCACCGAAAATTGCTATGCAATCTTATATGGTTTGCTTCGCAAACCAAGATCGCTTCGCTCGCTGCTAACTTAGCTTCATTGAAAATGTACAAAATTCTAAGAATTCAAAACAATCATTCAAATCCATATAACAACTTTTTCTTAAAAAAAAAAAATTCTTTTCAGTAAATACTAAGTCATTAAAATAAATTTGAATTCAAATAAATGACATGTAATTCGTTAAACCTCTTAGAAATGTGCTATAGTATAAAATCTTGAAGCGTAACAGCACGACTGAGTCTCATTTTTCAAAGAATAACTAATAACAGTAATAAAACAAATAAATTCGTGATATAAATCATAAAATCATCAAATAAATTCGTAATAAATAAATTCGTGAAAAAAAGCGCTTTCGACAAAATACTAAAATATCGACAAAGACTACTCACTTCTGCCTAGCTTAATAGTATGAGATTGCCGCAGCTGATAGGGTGACTTTCGGAAGAGATCACATTTGGTAAGAATGCTCTCTCTCTCTCTGGTTATCTCAGTTTCCGTTTTTAAAAGCGCTATATGTTGAGCCACCTCAGCTAGATTTGGCATGTGACATTTTTAGCGGCAAACAGTG